TGGTGGGGTCCATGTTTTTAAAGGGGGAGGGCATCCAAAGTCATTTTTTATTTGCTTCTGTAAATCAGTATATAGTCCTATTTAAATAACTCTGCAAATTCAAGGGGGGGGGGGTTCCAATCTCCCTAGCGGCTCCCTGTTCCTGAAATGACAAATGATCATGTGACTCCTAGTAAATAGTAGAAAACTTTTCCATTTGACTATACATAATTTTGTTTCTTGTGTTATTATGTTATGTACATCTAATGGTTTAAGGTTATGAACCCCTGGAGGTCATCCCCACTCTCTTAATGAACTGGAAATGTTCATAATATGACTACATCAAATTAAATAAAAGTGCATCAATGATAAGATTACTTGACATTTCATTCATGAATTTGGGTCAACCCATGTACTCTCCTAGAATTAGGAATGAAAATCATTCAAAAAGATGGACCATTAAACTATTTGTATATATTCACATTTTTTTTAATGTCAAACCAAAGTATTAGACTAGTTTGCATACATGAACAAACAGGGGTCTGGGAAGGGGAAGGCCAGGGATCGACATTAACGGTTGTCCGATTGCCCGGGACAAGTAAATTCTCAGTTCGGGCAAGTGAATCTTGCGACGTACTTGTCCGATCGGGCAAGTGATTTTTTCCTCATAGAAATGTACATATTTATTTCGTTTACATTAATTTATATAAAAAACAATAAATTGAAGACTTGATTTCCGCCAGGTACCTGACTGACATTGTTTTTGTATTCGGAATTCCTTTTCAGCATTTCTGGATTATACCTTTCATTTGAAAATCGGATTCGTTATTCCGTTCTTTTTCCCTGGTAAATATGCTGTTCGTCTAACATTTTTGTTAACTTCTTATTTGGAAATTAGATTATTTATTCACTTACAGAATATAAGTAAAGTGTAACACGATGTATCCTGATCAAGGTAAAGATCGATGTGTGTTATGTAGCAACTATCTTCCTTCAGCGTTGTTTCACAGTTATCTCAGAAAATTACGATTCACAAAAGAATCCTACCGAAAATAATTTTTTTAAAAATATGAATTTAAATAAACGGAGGGTTAGTGCTTCATGGCAGTGTGTGTTAACAGGTTAAATTTACAGGGACAGTGGTATACATTTATGTACAAACGCAGCATCAAAATTTTTTCAGGTACCTCACCTTGTCAAATTGACGGTAGTGTATTTAGTCACATTTTTTCTTGTCATAATATTTACAGTAATATATTTTTTTTCTGAAGTTCTTTCCTTATTTTGGGCAACCAAGTTTTGTGTTCGGACAAGTCAAAGTTTGAGATCACTTGCCCGAAGGGCAAGTAAATCTGAAAGTTAATGTCTATCCCTGGAAGGGGCAAGGGGAAGGAGTTATCTCTTTACGTCTTAATTGTTGAAAACTCCTAAAATGAATGTTAACCTCAAATCTGACTTGTACGTCTTCATTATTTTTAAGTGGTGGTGTCTCCGTATGAGTGAAAAATTCCCAAGAGGGATATTTAACAACAAACAAACATTAATGACTTAAAAAGCACAATATACATGTACATGTTTATTAGTCAACGGATATACTTCTGATCATATCTCTAGTTCTCCCTTGAATCAGAAATGATGATATAAATATTTTAAGAATGATTAAGAGTTGAAAAGGTTGTGCATTTTAAAATTCACTAATTAAGCTTTGTGGTTGAATTAGCTATACCAGTTTAGCTTATTTTGCTACTCAAAGCACCTTGATTAACTATTTTTAATCATACTGTTTTCTGAAATGTGAAGTTTTTTCAACATGGATACAAGTCATACCTTTTCAGCTTCTGAAAACAATGTATGAAAAAAAACTGCTTTTCAAATACTGTAACTCTTTCCAAGTACTTGTGATCATCAGTTTTTAGCTCACTTGAGTTTTTCTGGTTTTCTGATCACATTTTGTTTGTCATCCATCTGTCCATCTGTAAACTTTTCACATTTTTGTCTTCTTCACTAGAACCGCTGGGCCAATTTCAACCAACCCTGACACAAAGCATCTTCGGGTAAAGGGGATTCAAGTTTGTTCAAGTGAAGGGTCACACCCTCTTTCAAGGGGGGATAATCAAGAATTAGTGAAAATTTGGTGGTAACATTTTAAAAAAGTCTTATCAAGAACCACTGACTGGGCCCAAAAAGTTGAAACTTTCTTTACATAGACTTAGTGTAGCTTCAAATTTGTTAAAATTATGACCCACTGGGGTAGGGTGGGGCCACATATGGGGATCCAATGATTTACATAGAAAAATGCAGGGGATTTTTCCCATCATAAATTTTCTTCTCATGAACAGCTAGCAAGGGTATTATTGTCGTCCGTTTTCTCAAAAGGGACCTAGGGGACATTAAATCTCATTTGTCTGTCAGTCTGTCCATTTGTCAGTCTGTCCCTCTGTCACAATAAATTTAACCTTCGTCATAACTTCTGAATAATAAGAGATAGGGCTTTCATATTTCACATGTACATTACCAACAAGAACTTTCTAAACATACCATGATTTTTGAACCCATGACCTTGAAGTTTGACCTACTTTTCATAAAATTTAACATTATTTTAAATGATCATTTTGAAAGAGAAAGGATAGGGCGTTCATATTATACATGTATATTACCTGTGACAAGACCTTTCTAAATATATCATGACTTTTGACTCTGTGACATTGACCTTGAAGTTTAACCTACTTTTCAAAAATGTTATATTTCCTTATAACTTTTGACTGAGAAGAGATAGGACTTTTATATTTGACATGTACATTACCTGTAACAAGATGTTTCCAAGCATGCTATGATTTTTTTACCCCTTGACCTTGATGTTTTACCTAATTTTCAAAAATTTTAACTTTGGTGATTACTTTTGAATGACATATGATAAGGCCTGCATATTTGAAACAATATATCATAAATAATGGCATCCCATCCACTAGGACACGGAAAGCAGGGGACCACAATTCTTTGAATTTGCTTGTTAGTCATTTTGATATGGAAACATCCTCATATAGTGTAGATTCAAGTTTTTTATGCCCTGCCATGAATATGGCCGGGGCATATAGTGTTTGTCATGTCAGACTTCAATAAAACGTCATATGCTGATACATACTGATGTAAGCTTTTCAACTGCATCAAAATTTTTGACCTTGACTTTTCCTTTGACCTTGACCTTACTTTTCTTAAAATAGTGTCTAGATCAGTTTTGAATAAACAAGATATATTTATCAAACTTCATATGCTGATATATACTGCTGAGAGATATCAATTGCATAAACTTTTTTGACCTTGACTTTTCCTTTGACCTTCACCTCACTTTTTTAAATTAATGTTTATCTACGTTTTAAATAAACCATTTCTGATATTTTTATTGAACTTCTATGCTAATAGTAAATACATACTGATATAAGCTTTTCAACTGCATCAGCATTTTGACCTCAACCTTTCCTTTGACCTTGACCTCTCTTTTCTCAAATAAGTGTTAAGCTCAGTTTTAAATAAATCATTCAAGATATTTTTATCAAACCTAATATGCTGATATGTATTAGTGAGAGCTATTCAACTGCATCAAAAACTTTTCACCTTGCACTTTCCTGTGACCTTGACCTCCCTTCTCTTTAATTTGTATTTTGCTTAGTTTTAAAGAAACAATCTAAGATATTTTTATGATTTTTATGTAAGCATGCACTTATACATAATTTTGTGAGAATTTATCATCTATATCCATTTTTTTTTTTTAGATTTTAGTTTCAATTTTAAAGAAACTGTTCAAGATATTCTCATCAAACTTCATACACTCATACAAATTTTCATGTTGCATTAGTAATATACATTCGGCGGGGCATTTATGTCCTATGGACATATTTCTAGTTTTCAAATCATGACCACCGAGGATAGGGTCAGGCCATAATAAGGGATCAAAATTTTATAGAGATTTAAAAGGAAAAAAAATCTTCAAAATTCTTCTTTTTAAGAACAACAAAAGCATGATTAATATGGAAACATTCCCAAGAAGTGTAGATTCAAGTTTGTACAAATCATGACCCCATGGGTTAGGGAGGGGCCATTTTTTTCCTGCCCCTATTTGCTATCCACATGGAAATGCAAATTTTAAAACCATTTTACACATCCACAGGACAAAATCAATCATCTTCCAAATGATCATGATCTAAGGCTAGTGCATAAAATATAAGGGAAGTTCTGGGAACCAGGATGTTTAAACATGTTAAATATTTTTTTTTTTTTAAAATTGACCCCCATTTGACTCCCAGGGGGAAAATAAGAATTCCGAAACCTTACTGCACATCTTTAGGACACCACCAACCATCTCCCAAAAGATGATTAGGCTACTGTGTAAAATGTAAGAGGAGTTCTGGGAACCAGGGGCTTTTTGCATAAAAAACGTTATTTTTTGACCCCTATTTGACCCCATCGTGAAAATGAAAATTCCGAAACCTTACTGCACATCTACATGACACCACTAACCATCTCCCAAAAGACGATTAGGCTACTGTGTAAAATGTAAGAGGAGTTCAGGGAACCAGGGGCTTTTTGCATAAAAAACGTCATTTTTCTACCCCCATTTGACCCCCAGGGTGAAAACGAAAATTCCAAAACCTTACTGCACATCTACATGACACCACCAACCATCTCCCAAAAGATGATTAGGCTACTGTGTAAAATGTAAGAGGAGTTCTGGGAACCAGGGGCTTTTTGCATAAAAAACGTCATTTTTCAACCCCCATTTGACCCCCAGGGTGAAAATGAAAATTCCGAAACCTTACTGCACATCAACATGACACCATCAACCATCTCCCAAAAGACGATTAGGCTACTGTGTAAAATGTAAGAGGAGTTCAGGGAACCAGGGGCTTTTTGCATAAAAAACGCCGTCACCAACATCCCTCAACTCAATACTCAGCCTCAACTCTGAGGTTTTCCCTCAAGTTCTTTACATCACCCTCAAGTCACCGTCACCACAAAAAAATTGAGTTTTCCTCAACAGAATTTTGAGTAAATACTCAAATATTTAAGTATAACTCTATAGCAACCTTAAAAGCTTACTCAAGGAAATTAAAATGGCGGACAGGCGTAGAAGACGACGAAAATATAGAAGATTTTTGCTGAGGAGAGAAAGACCCGAACGTAGGGTAGTAAAAGATCGTCTAAATCCTATGGAAGTGTACACAGACGACGAACTTTACGAACGATTTCGATTTCGGCGGCCTACAATCGTCTATTTGATGACTCTGATTGAACACAAACTAATAAACACCACAAAAAATCAAGCCTTACCTCCACTGTTGCAGCTGTTGGTCTGTTTGCGTTTTCTGGCTACGGGTGCTTTTCATAAATTGATCGGGGACAGTGTAAATGTTTCTGAGTGCACAGTCGGTAGATGTTGCCGTTCTGTGACCCAGGCCATCAACGACATTCGGCAAGACTTTATCATGTTTCCGAGGGACCAAAAAGCCAGACAAACAAAACAGGAATTTTTGAAGATCGCAGGTAACTAGTCACTCAGCGTCTGCTCTTTCTTACTTTCATTTTCAGAATATGTACAAGAGGAACTAGATGCTGTCATGAGACAGTAATACCCGCACTAAGGTGTTTGCCTCTAAATGCACACTCCTTCATATTGGGCTTACCAAGGAAAAAGTCCAAATAATTCTATAATTTACACAGTACATGTATTCGTCAAATCGAGCATAAAATGCTCAGGTGACCATGTGACCCATGAACCTCTTATACGCATTTCATATACTTAATTCATTACCAGTCTGAAATATCAGAATTTAATTAATGTTGTAAATTAGGTTTTAATAAAAAGGGGGGGGGGGGTATAAATTTTTGGCCCATAATTGGAACTTTTTAAATTTATCTTCTCAACAACAAATAATATTATTTTAGTACAAAGCGTTTTTGATGAATTTATCAAAATGTGCAAACTTTTTTTAGTATTTGATTAGGCAAAAACCTCCTTGAAAAGCCATACCCAATCAATTTATATGTGTCCCCCCCCCCCCAATACACACACACACAATTTGCCTGTTTTTGGAAATAGGCCTAGATGGCAAAGTTATGTTAAAACATCGTTTGTTAGGATAATTTAAAATTTGTTCTTGTACTGTACATGTATGTGAACACCTTTTTGAAAATTTCTACATCACATTGGGCTTGCGTCACCCTACCAGTACTAGTACTAGTTTTACCATTATCATTTTTAGATTGCACATGCCATGTGACATGGTGCAGTGTTACATGTATATCAGTGGAAATTAATTCATTTTGTGTTTTAATTGGATTATATTTCATGAAGTTGACAGGACCTATGACAGTCGGTAAGTACAAGTTTAAGTATAGATTGGGGTAAAATAAACCGAAATGCAAATGGTTAGGTTAAAGTTTAAAAAGGATCAAAGATCATCGGCAATCTCCTATGCAGAGTTGTCGTTCGTTTCTCTCTCAGACACTGAATGTATGAGCCGATCGTAGAGAGTGGATCATCGATGCCACAATAGACGAATTTCACATTCTGAAGAGTTATCTCCCGTTGTCGACATTACATTCAGTTACAGGCATAGATCCGGGAATTTTTTTCCGGGGGGGGGGGGGGGTCCACACCTCGGTCCAAAAAAATTCCAGCCCAGAATTTCCTGAGGAGCAAAAAAAAACAAAAACAAAAACAAACAAACAAAATAAAAACAATGATGGTGGGGTCCATGTTTTTAAAGGGGGAGGGCATCCAAAGTCATTTTTTATTTGCTTCTGTAAATCAGTATATAGTCCTATTTAAATAACTCTGCAAATTCCAAGGGGGGGGGGGGGTTCCAATCTCCCTAGCCGCTCCCTGTCCCTGAAATGACAAATGATCATGTGACTCCTAAATAGTAGAAAACTTTTCCATTTGACTATACATAATTTTGTTTCTTGTGTTATTATGTTATGTACATCTAATGGTTTAAGGTTATGAACCCTTGAGGTCATCCCCACTCTCTTGTTCATAATATGACTACATCAAATTAAATAGAAGTGCATCAATGATAAGATTACTTGACATTTCATTCATGAATTTGGGTCAACCTAGAATTAGGAATGAAAATCATTCAAAGAGATGGACCATTAAACTATTTGTATGTATTCACATTTTTTTTATGTCAAACCAAAGTATTAGACTAGTTAGCATACATGAACAAACTGGGGTCTGGGAAGGGGAAGGGGCAAGGGGAAGGAGTTATCTCTTTACGTCTTAATTAATTGTTGAAAATTCCTAAAATGAATGTTAACCTCAAATCCGACTTGTACGTCTTCATTATTTTTGAGTGGTGGTGTCTCCGTATGAGTGAAAAATTCCCAAGAGGGACATTTAACAACAAACAAACATTAATGACTTAAAAAACACAATATACATGTACATGTTTATTAGTCAATGGATATACTTCTGATCATATCTCTAGTTCTCCCTTGAATCAGAAATGATGATATAAATATTTTAAGAATGATTAAGAGTTGAAAAGGTTGTGCATTTTAAAATTCACTAAGCTCTGTGGTTGAATTAGCTATACCAGTTTAGCTTATTTTGCTACTCAAAGCACCTTGATTAACTATTTTTAATCATACTGTTTTCTGAAATGTGAAGTTTTTTCAACATGGATACAAGTCATACCTTTTCAGCTTCTGAAAACAATTAATGCATGAAAAAAAAACTGCTTTTCAAATACTGTAACTCTTTCCAAGTACTTGTGATCATCAGTTTTTAGCTCACTTGAGTTTTTCTGGTTTTCTGATCACATTTTGTTTGTCATCCATCTGTCCGCCTGTAAACTTTTCACATTTTTGTCTTCTTCACTAGAACCGCCGGGCCAATTTCAACCAACCCAGCCACAAAGCATCTTTGGGTAAAGGGGATTCAAGTTTGTTCAAGTGAAGGGTCACACCCTCTTTCAAGGGGGGATAATCAAGAATTAGTGAAAATTTGGTGGTATCATTTTAAAAAAGTCTTATCAAGAACCACTGACTGGGCCCAAAAAGTTGAAACTTTCTTTACATAGACAGTGTAGCTTCAAATTTGTTAAAATTATGACCCACTGGGGTAGGATGGGGCCACATATGGGGATCCAATGATTTACATAGAAAAGTGCAGGGGATTTTTTCCATCATAAATCTTCTTCTCATGAATAGCAAGGGCATTATTGTCATCCATTTTCGCGAAAGGGACCTAGGGGACATTAAATCTCATTTGTCTGTCAGTCTGTCAGTTTGTCAGTCTGTCCGTCTGTCACAATAAATTTAACCTTGGTCATAACTTCTGAATAATAAGAGATAGGGATTTCATATTTCACATGTACATTACCTACAAGAACTTTCTAAACATGCCATGATTTTTGAACCCATGACCTTGACCTTGAAGTTTGACCTACTTTTCAAAAAATTTAACATTATTTCAAATGATCATTTTGAAAGAGAAAAGATAGGGCGTTCATATTATACATGTATATTACCTGTGACAAGACCTTTCTAAATATATCATGACTTTTGACTCTGTGACATTGACCTTGAAGTTTAACCTACTTTTCAAAAATGTTATATTTCCTTATAACTTTTGATTGAGAAGAGATAGGACTTATATATTTGACATGTACATTACCTGTAACAAGATGTTTCCAAGCATGCTATGATTTTTTACCCCTTGACCTTGATGTTTTACCTAATTTTCAAAAATTTTAACTTTGGTGATTACTTTTGAATGACATATGATAGGGCGTGCATATTTGAAACAATATGTCATAAATAATGGCATCCCATCCACTAGGACACGGAAAGCAGGGGACCACAATTCTTTGAATTTGCTTGTTAGTCATTTTGATATGGAAACATCCTCATATAGTGTAGATTCAAGTTTTTTATGCCCTGCCATGAATATGGCCGAGGCATATAGTGTTTGTCATGTCCGACTTCAATAAAACGTCATATGCTGATACATACTGATGTAAGCTTTTCAACTGCATCAAAATTTTTGACCTTGAATTTTCCTTTGACCTTGACCTTACTTTTCTTAAATTAGTGTCTAGATCAGTTTTGAATAAACAATTCAAGATATATTTATCAAACTTCATATGCTGATATAATTATACTGCTGAGAGATATCAATTGCATCAACTTTTTTGACCTTGACTTTTCCTTTGACCTTGACCTCACTTTTTTAAATTAGTCTTTTCTCTTTCAAAATGATCATTTGAAATAATGTTAAACAAAAAAATATGTGTGGTTCCGGTTACACTTCCAAAAAAATTAGGGTAGGTAGGTAGGGATTTTTATTTTTTTTAATTTTTTTTTTTTAACAAAATGATTTTCTTAATTTTTTTTTCTAAATAATACCTATCACTGCTTTGCAAATGGCATTTAGATGTGGTGTGATAATATACTAGTCAATATTGGTAGGGGACACCTACATGCTAGCTTGCTTTGGATTTAACACTATTAAACACTTGCACTATGTTTTGCAAGGAGGCCGTCATTGCTGAAACTAAAACTTAAACTGGAGCCATTGATGGAAATTGGGGGAAATTCCGGAAAAATATGAAAATTGCCAAAAAAAAGTTTAGGGTCGGGGGTATAAAATAGGGAAGGTCGGGTAACCTGAACCACACATATTTTTTTATTTGGCCTTATCTACATTTTAAATAAACCATTTCTGATATTTTTGTTGAACTTCTATGCTAATAGTAAATACATAATGATATAAGTTTTTCAACTGCATCAACATTTTGACCTCAACCTTTCAGTTGACCTTGACCTCTCTTTTCTCAAATAAGTGTTAAGCTCAGTTTTAAATAAATCATTCAAGATATTTTTATCAAACCTAATATGCTGATATGTATTAGTGAGAGCTCTTCCACTGCATCAAAAACTTGAAAATGAAAATTCCGAAACCTTACTGCACATCAACATGACACCACCAACCATCTCCCAAAAGACGATTAGGCTACTGTGTAAAATGTAAGAGGAGTTCTGGGAACCAGGGGTTTTTTGCATAAAAAACGTCATATTTCGACCCTCATTTGACCCCCAGGGTGAAAATGAAAATTCCGAAACCTTACTGCACATCTACAGGACACCACCAACCATCTCCCAAAAGATGATTAGGCTACTGTGTAAAATGTAAGAGGAGTTCAGGGAACCAGGGGCTTTTTGCATAAAAAACGTCATTTTTCGACCCCCATTTGACCCCCAGGGTGAAAATGAAAATTCCGAAACCTTACTGCACATCTACAGGACACCACCAACCATCTCCCAAAAGACGATTAGGCTACTGTGTAAAATGTAAGAGGAGTTCAGGGAACCAGGGGCTTTTTGCATAAAAAACGTCATTTTTCGACCCCCATTTGATCCCCAGGGTGAAAATGAAAATTCCGAAACCTTACTGCACATCTACAGGACACCACCAACCATCTCCCAAAAGACGATTAGGCTACTGTGTAAAATGTAAGAGGAGTTCAGGGAACCAG